TCAAACGATCCTTTGCCGTTCGTGTTGCTAGACATTGGGATGGGTTTCCACTGAGGCTGAAATCCTTGGATGACTCCTTAATACGTTTAGAAAATAATTGGCTGCGCTGCTAAGATCATAAATTATACTTTGATTCTGGTAGGAATGAATGGTTAAGGAATTTATGGAGCAAATAAAAGACGGAAGCAGCCATCTAGTTGGCTCCTATACCCACTTATGTTATTGGTTATTTTTGCACATGAAATGTATATACGTAACTAGTTAGTAGGCCTATAGCTTTATTGTTACTTAATAAATGAATAAATAAAAAGAAAAATATACTTCTATCTGTCACCTGCGACAAATGTAACTTGGTTTAACGCTACGCTAAACGTACTAGAATTAAGCCTATTTCAATTTAATAATATTCTTAATAATTTGAATAGCCTGCTAGATTTGGTTTGTATTACTGATATTTCCAACTATGTATTGCAATGTTTTTATTCTGTCGTCCTGCCAGAGGACAAATACCACCCCTTACCAATTTCGCGGAATTAAATCATCTCCTGTCTATGGAGAGACAGTTTTTTATTCCAAGAGCGGTTTTCCAAATATTTCCTCTGACTTGGATAAAGTCATTGATTTATTTTATAGCAGACTCGACAACTGTTTTTTTATGACAGTGCCTACAAAGTACCGTAAAAACGGTTAAAAGCTTTCACGAAGTTAAGAGCTACAAGACGACACCTTGGTTTTTGTTATTAGAATTGTTATAGAAATATGCAGTAAAGCCTTTCAATATGGGATATGGAGAATAAGATGTGGTTCTTGCAAGCATACAATCTGCGGAGCACTATCCTTGATCAATAATTTTAACTCGTTTATTGTAATAACCAGTAACATACCATTGTAAAATCCTGATTGTTGTGTATATCACAATTAATTAAATCAATATGCGATATGTACAAACAAAGAAGACATGTATAGTATACTCCATTTACAGCAATGCTGCCAAATATTGGCAACCATTGCCCCACAGAGGCAATGCATAGCATGGATTAAGATCTATGTCATACATCGTCGCACAATAAGGCAGAGGAACCACAATTAAAAATGCATAGTAACATATGTATAGCATAGCTAAATATAAACAAACAAAGAGAAAAAAAAAGTATCAGACGGCTGAAGAAGCCTGCAACATAACGGAAGATATTTAAAAAAAAAGAAAAGTTAGCGAATAAAGGCGCAGAGGGTAAGCGTATGAGGGCGGAGAGAAATTATGGACAGATATACAAAAAACTAAACATTCGACAGAAAGTGTGCCTAATTCAGAATGGTCTGCATAAATCGCAGGTTCTTATATCGAAATGCATAGATCAATGTAGAGGTTTTAGTGCACAGCTAGTAGCTGGTTATGAACAATTTCTACAAGCCATAAGTTCTTCTTGTATTAACAGGACAGATGGGTTCCGAGCGATACTATCCACACCAAGCTGTTGCACGTCGCTGCAGCAGAAGCTTTACGCTTTTGCGCTGAACTCTGAAGTAAAAAAGTGGTTACCTTGTGGTATCGGTGCAAGAAAAGGTTATAAGTAAGAAGAATCAGGCTCCATTGAAGATATATTGGAATAACTTTAGATCTGCAATTCATGAATAGTTAAATTCAGCGTAGTTTTAAACGGTATGGATTTTGTGGTCAAGAAGTGCTCTTCGCACAGGACAATCCACTACACAAATTATTATTCTCGATAATAATGCAGGTACCACCGAACATAACATTGTCGCAACGTCTGAGTCACATTCGTTAGAAACGAAGCTCTCAGAGCACAACACGAGTGCATACACGTGAGTAAGTGACGTAGGGAAATTTTTTAGGTAATCGTGATATTAAAGCACATATCGTCTGAGCAACAATAGCTCCACTGCTATATTAGGACACTGGTACTTCGAATGAAATGATGACGACGATGATCTACAACCTCGCGTTCTAAAGTTACACGGTAAATTGTAAAGACTTTCTGAAAATCATAACCTTTAACTGATTCACATTTCCTAGTAGCTATGCACTACGACTTATGAATTCTGATTCCTGCCGTATGAGAGACCCATCGGCAACATCACATTGTAAAATATACACAACTGAGATTGACAATATTAAAGACTTGGGGTGTGTTCGAAAATATCAAGAAGGTTTTACGCAAGACAAGAGGTAATATTGTTAATAGACCAAGTATAGGAGGAAAATCCAAAGCTAATGTAAAATGGTTGAACACGAACCGCTATGTACTAAGATCTTTGGAATATCAGCTGCATACTGAATAGTTATGAATTGATCACCGAAATAAGATGTATAGCGTCAGCGACACATTTCGTAACGTTAAGTCGCAATAATTTACATTGGTTTGATATTCGAAGAGTGTTATTGATGGTTGTAGAAAGAACTGGTGAAGACCCATGTAATCTGAACAGCTCAGCGAATCGTTAACGAATATCCGGTGATGATCGGTAGAAACTTCATGACATGTATCATGATTTTCATAAAAAATTTCGATACCGATTTCCATTGGTGAGTAAAAGGTTACTTGTGGTAAATTGGGTCCGAGAAACGAGAAATCCTACACCCTTATTTCGTTGTATGAGTTGAAGATCGTCCACCATTTGATACCAATCGAGGATTCTAATACTTAGGTGGTGTGTGCTCTCGTTAAACGCCAACGGAGACTTGCGAGATGTATGAATATGTGACAACGAATCAACCACGTCCATATGCAAAAAAAGTCGCATGATTGCTACATGTGGCGCCTGTTTCAGCTTTCCTTAAAGAGGGTATGGAAGGACTCATACTAATAAATTAATTTGAAAGGAGAATATGCTTTCCATATAGTCAAAATGTAGACATAAATTACATTAGATAAATAGTACTTAAGCTGTGGGGTACGACTATGGACATTCAACCCTGTAGATCAGAAAAAGCAATTGCAAACTCTATAAAAAATAAATCTCGAAATTTGAAATTAAAATAGACTCAAATGTTGCCCACGCGATTCGCAAATACAAGAGAAGGAAACAAAAAAGTTGGATATTCAAGAACCAGGAAATTTGCCAGACCAAACTATGAATAATGCAGTTTCTCAACCTCAAAATAGAAGTATGAGTTTAGATCAGCGAGGAGTATACGTAGCAGTTACTTGCAATATTCAAGAAGAAATGAGTGATAATAACAAAACTTCTCATAGTTGGTAACGCTAGAACTGACAAGATCTACGCACAAATCATATTAAAAAAGTTGTAAAATTTTCTGCGTTAACAGGTGTTGCGGCCACATTAATAATCGGTTCAACATTACATAATACACCTAAATTACTAGTACACAAAGATGGAAATGCTAATGTTAACTGGTAAGTCCGCAAGCATGAGGCGCATTTCATGAAAAGAAATAACATAATTTTTTATTTATGAAAAATCGATGGTTCACTATGAAATGCCAAGCATGACAGACTGGAAAAAGTTAAAAATTATGACATCGTTACGCAACTTAATGCGATTGCCACCAGGCGAGCAGTATTTAACAGCAACGTATTTATAGCGAATATTGACATTGATGAAATTGAAAACACTATGAGGGAAAAGGACGATTGGATTGGGTTAATGGGTTTTATGTAGAGCAAGTGTACTGGATTTTCTATCAATAAACCACTACATATATATTCAACGAACAAGCAAGTATTACAGTGCAATTATAAAATAATTTAAAGAACTTAGAGAGAGATCAATACAAAAATTGAACTGAAGAAATTTCAGTGGAGTTCAAACCAGAAAATAAGAAAATATTTGGTAGAACTATGTTAGCTTAAAAGAAAATATTAGAAATTAGAAACACCATAGCGTACCTACAAACGTTTTCAAAGTGTGCGTGATCAGTTCAAACATAAGAAAAGTGTACGTAATACTAACTTATGGATGCGACCCGAACCGGAAATGATGTAGATGAAGTAATACTAGTGAAAATCAATCAGACAGGAGATATATCTAAGAAGCTGGACAACCCACGTTCCCTCTGGAATTATATGAATGGTCATCGACATTCTAGTCGAAAATTAAGCGGTTGTGCTGTATGGAATGACCGTGATAATAAAAAATACTTAGATATGCTCAAGAGCTACATTCCAATTGTTAATCCTATTACAATGCCTTCAATTCCTTTCAGTAGTCTCAGTAACACACCCTTTTCATTGCATGAGCTAATGTATGTTTTACATTCCAGAAAGAGAGCTACTGCTGCAGGTTGTGATTGATTCAAGTATGACATGCTCAGAGCACTGTCTGGAGGAAGCTTTAGCATTCTTTTGCATGCAATTAACAACTGCTGGTCCACCAACTTTATACCCTCTGATTTGCGTTGCATCAAAATAGTTCCCATTCCCAAGCCAGGTAAAGACTTAAATGATTTAAGTAGCTTCAGACCAATTTCACTGATATCTGTATTCATAAAGACTATCAACCTCATGGTTAAGGAGAGACTAACTGCTATCCTGAAAACTGAGCACATTATTCCAGCTCGTTCTTACGCCTATCAAAAACGCAAATCTACGAATATGTGCGTTAATGAACTGTGTTTTCTCATAGACAGCTTAAAAAAAGCAGGGAAAATGGTTGTCATGCTCTCCCTGGACATCAGCAAAGCCTATGACTGTGTCAACTTGATTAAGCTTGGTAGAATTCTCTTAAACTTTTCGATTCCTCTTCAAATGGCTGTGGATACTTAATATTTTATCCAAGCGTGTGTTGGTGATGGGCACCAAAATAGTTGAAATATGTGGTGGTATCCCACAAGACAATTGTTTAAGCCCCATACTCTTCAATTTATACGCAGCTTCTTTCCATGATCTTCAAGATGACAAAACTCATATTTTTCTAATTGTATCTGCGGACTCATCTTTTTCAGCAGCTGTCAATAACCTCTCGATGAAAGCGAACTCGTTTTTCGATGCATGCGCTGATCTTAACCCCAGCAAGACAAACACAATTTATTTTGCCAAAGGTTCTAAACAAGAAATCAGACTTCTTATCAAAGGTACTCAGGTTAATCAAGTAAAATCTCTTCTATTTCTTGGGAGAATTTTATATGACAGCTGAACCCTTAGTGGGCATTATGAAAAGGCGTTCAAAGATTGTCAGTCTGGATGCAACATCATCAAACTCATGACAAACAATAAGGCAGGCTTGCCTCCCAAAAATGCTTTGACCGTTGTCATGAGACTCGATACTTTTATTGCCGGTTGAGTATATATCTTTTCCTGACAAAGAAATAAAATAATAAAAAAAAAAAATGAAAGGGTCCCGTCGGTTGTCTACCGTCCGTTTGTCCACCGTAAGTTAGTCGGTAGTCGTCTGGCGTCTGCCCTACATATGCACACCCCCCCTTTCGTCTTTCAGCTACAGCGGCGGCAGCTGTAACGCTTAGCCACTCATCGGGGACACAAAAAAGAAAAGGGAATTAAACAAACTAAAATAACTTACAATACTTGATGCGATCGGTGTCGAGGCGAGGTCGGTTGCGGTAGTTGCTACACCGGCGGTTCCTGTTCACAGCAAGGAAGTAGGAAGTTCGTTTTAAGTAGTCAGCACAATCACAACACAGCTGGGATGTAGGTGCATGGGGGTGCACGTAATTCGTAAGCTACTGAAACTGGAAAATTATTCTTCTTCCCCTTAACGCATCTTGACTGAAGTAAACACATTGATCCTTTTTTTTGTTTAGTTTCCTTTTTATTTTTTTTCTTCCTATCCTTTTTTTTCTTTTAACAGGTAGTGTCGTCAACAAAAACTTCGAGTTTTCCACACTAACGTTTAAGAAAGAATTTATTTCGGTAAGAATTTATAAATTACTAGAGTATTCCTTTTTCTCCTCGTTTTTCATAATCTACCAAACGCACTTGGCTTTTTGTTCATGGTGATTTGAAGAATCATGCTATTTTATCAAAAAACTAGTGATTATTTTCCTTTTTGGATCATTGGATTAAAACCCTTTTTTTTTTTCTTTTTTTTCTTCTATAATTTATTAAACGCACGCATACAAGGTAAAAATGTAATAATAGTTCAGGTGCACATCAGTACTACAATCATGAAATCTAAGTAGACATTTTTGTTTCACGACTAAAGGTTACAATTTAAGCAACTATTTCTGTTTCTTGAACAAAATTTAAAATGTAATAATAATTTCAATGCACATCAGTGTTACAGC